CTCTCTCTCTCTCTCTCTCTCTCTCTCTCTCTCTCTCTCTCTCTCTCTCTCTCTCTCTCTCTCTCTCTCTCTCTCTCTCTCTCTCCCCCAAGAGTTTCTTAGGAATTTTTGGAAAACGGGGGGGGCGGAGAGGCGAGAGGGGAGAGAGGGGGGTTGCGCACTTCTGATCGCAGGAATGACGGCCCATAGCGCGGGTGTTTTTAGTCTTCTCCACATGAAATTCCGGCGCACAAAGTCCAGCATGTGCAAGGCCATCGCACGCGCGCCCGCGCGCGCGAGAGAGGGAGAGAGACAACGTTTTGTCACGCAGAGAGAGAGATAGTTTTGTCAGAGAGTGAGAGACAGCGTACTTGAGTTTTGTCAGAGAGCGAGAGACAACGTACTTTAGTTTTGTCAGAGAGCGAGCGACAACGTACTTGAGAGTTTTGTCACACACAGAGAGAGAGAGAGAGAGAACGTATCTGAGTTTTGTGCGAGAGAGAGAGAGAGAGACAACGTACTTGAGTTTTGTCACAAAGAGAGAGAGAGAGAGAGAGGGCATACTCACACGGGGACCTAAAGTCGCAAAAAATTGCGGCATTTGATACCGCCCATTCGCGCCTTTGTGTGCCCGTACACTCAAACGGGTAGACTCTCTGTCCATAAAGGACACAGTCGCTGCCCTGACACTTGGACGTTGCTGGAAGTGCCCCCCGCCACACTTGGGAGGACCCAAAAATATAGAATTTTTTTTTTTTTTTCAACGCCCGTACAATTGTTGGGCGGGCTGTTTCATTCAACGACCGACGACAACCAACCCAGTTACGACCGCGCAGATGGACTCGACAAATCAAAATAACGAAATTCTTGAGTCATTTCAATAGGCTCAGAAATCACACGTTTCTCTGCATCATCGGAACCGGATGACCCTCAAAACCATAATCTGTTAATATACGACGTAAATCCTGAATGAGCCTACCGTCTTCACTCGAATAGAACGCCCGATCGCAACTTTCAGCCTAGATATATAATGATAAGCACCGGGTGTTCTATTGGGGTGATGGCGGTAGCAGCAGCCAAAGCAGTGAAAACAACCAGAGGCCATGAAAGAAAAGGATGACTGGAGGAAAGAGAAGAAAAGAGAAGAGAATGAGGAGGGGATAGTGAGGCCAACGCTACGTGCTCATGCTCACTCAAAAGATATGCATTAGAAAGCCATCACGAGCGAACATCCAAGACAACAAGAGAGGAGAGGACGAAGCTTCTACAACAAACGGCTTTGCTACGAGTGGCTTACCAACTCCCATGCAAACAGTCCATGATTTCATCGACTGAGGGGTCAGGGAGGGAGGGAAGGAGGGAAGGAGGGAAAGAGGGAAGGAGGGAGGAGAGAGAGAGAGACAGAGAGGCCAGAGGGGAAGAGAGAAAGAGAAAAGATGGTGAGAGAGACGAGGCGAGGAGGATGAGAGAAGGAGAAACGAAGGGCAAAACAGAGGGAAACCGGCAGGTAGGAGCAAGCGCACACACAGAGAGAGAGAGAGAGAGAGAGAGAGAGAGAGAGAGAGAGAGAGAGAGAGAGA